TTCATATAAAAATTTTGTACTTCTTATGATCCAACAACCTATTTATATGATATGAAAACAAGAATCTAATGAGATCATAATCCAGTGATGATCATAACATCACAAAAAACATGATGTTATTACCTGTTAATTTTGTTTGGATGAAGTAATATCATTTGATACTCGTAATAATTGCTATCCCAATTTATGTCCATACATATATATATATATATATACATATATATATATATATGTATATATATATATATGTATATATATATATATATATAAGTTGTGTCTTGGAGTATTCGCGGTGGTAGAGAAATATAAAATTTAGCGTCTTAGCGTTGTACGAAAATCTGGCACGCAATTTGATAAGAGTGAGGGTCTAACATTTATAAGATACTAAGATTTTTATGTGCAAAACCCCTAAAAAGGGGGAAAAACCACGGGGCCTAGCCCAGTTTGAATGAATCCACTAGTATAGTAGTTGATTACAAATGAGGTCCTTCCTTGGGGAAAGGCCTTAGATTGAAGTACATTACATTGTAGGAATACAAAGAATCACTGTTGACATGTTCATTTGGTCCGAAGGACTGTAGTCGATGGATGACGTAAGTCGGAAGGACCGTAGTCGGCAGGCGACATAAGTCGGCAGGATCGTAGTTGGCGGGCGACAGAGGTTGGAAGGACTGTAGTCGGTGGGCGACGTAAGTCAGCATGACTATAGTTGACGTGCGACAGAGGTCTGAGGAATTGTAGTTAGTGGGCAACGTAAGTCAGCAATACCATAGTCAGCGGGCGACAGAGGTCGGAAGGACTGTAGTCTGAGGGCGACGTAATTCAGAAGGACAGCGTTAGGTAGAATTAAGTCCAACAATGGAATAAAATCCATCTTCGGATAGATGTCTGGCAAAAGTCTAACAACGGGTAGAAGTCTGGCGTTGGGTAGAAACTTGGTGACGAGTGAAGGTCTAGCGTCGGGAGGAAGTCCGACGTCTGTTGGCGACCGAGGAGAACTCCGACATCACTTGGGTGGAGTTTCAGCGTCAAGGGAGGGGGGGGGGGGGAATTATGTCATTACTTGGGCAGAATTTCAGCAACCCGTGGAAGTCGGGTAGAATTCTAGCATCCAGTGGAAGTATGGCAGAATTCCGCTTTCATTTGGAGTTTGGGCGAAACTTCGGCGGTGGTCGAGGAGTCTCTTCCCTCCTATTCTTCTCTTCTCATCTTTTTCTCTTCTTTTTCTTGCTTGCGTCCCCTCTCAAGAGAAATGATGAGTCTATTTATAGATATTATGGAGTGGCATGGCCTGTAAATATGTGAGAGATCATGGGCGAATGTGGAGTGGTTCGGATGGACGGCCGATATTGAATCCTTTGATCATGGACCGTTCGTCGGACATTTGAAGGTCTTAATGGTGTTGGAATTCAGCTATCTTGGGCTCGTTAGATTTGTCTCGTCGAGCCGCTCGATTCGATTATAAGCATGTCATATTTGGAAACCATTTGGTAATCCAAATTGTGGTTCAAACCTTCCGAATGTGCTTCGGGTCTTTGATTTGGACCCATTTGAGCTTGGATCGAGTTGAATTTGGTGTCATTGGGTTCGTATTTCCGAGACGCTCAGTTCGACTATAAGTTTGCTGAAATCGGAGTTGAGATTATCCCGGATTTAATTTTTGAAGTTTCCGGCTTGATTTTGCCTTGAAATTCGTGCCGGTTCAAGATTATATATATATATATATATATATATATATATATATATTACATAAAAAGTCGATATAACCAATATCCTTGAGCCATCAAACTCAACAAAAAAGTCTAAAAACATATGGGAATATGCTTGGTTTGGACTTCATGGGTTCCTTAACCTTAGTTTATAAAGTTTGAAATCACCGAGCTAAAAAGATAGTTAACTCAACTCAATTACAAGATCTTCAGTCAGTAGAGTTTGTTGATGGATTCCATGAATCTTTCAGTAAGAAGACTCTTTCCAAACAAGGACTTGTCTAATTTCATGAGAAATCCCTATTATAGTGCCTTCGTATAGGGATTGTTCTACTCATTTCACTTCTTAAGTTGAGTGATAAAGAAGAAGATTGGCTGCTTCCAGGCATTCTAATGAAGTTCTATCAAACCCAAGGCACTAGCCAGGTTTTTCGTCTACGACTAATTAAAGTTC